AACCTTTCGGGTTTTGTTGTGTTGTTTTGTTTTGGATTTTTTTATTTCCAACCTAAACGCCTCTTTACTAGATTATACAGCAGTTCTTCCGTGTTTACTTTGTTTAATTGCAGTTACCGTGAATTGCTGATAATAATTTGTTACCAGGCTTGTGCTTTTTCGGTCACCAGCAGAGAAATGCGGGTGGAAGCCAGGCCGCCTGCTGTCCTGAGAAAATGGGGAAGGGAACGGACGGCGAATGCTCGGGGGTTGCCTGGATTTCACCAGGGATAGATAGCTATGCTGGCGGTCGAGCAGCACGCCGACCCGCTGTGTGAAGTTTGCGGGAGCAACGGCGCTGTGGGGCGGGCGGGAGGCGGGACGGGAACAGCGGAGCCGCCGCCTCCCAGCGACCCGGCAAAGTCCCGGCGGCACGGGGCTTGGCACCGCCGCGGGAGACGGTCCGCAGGCACTTGAAGGTTTCCTGAAGGCTGCTGCTTATGCAAGCATCATTTAGGGCTCCCCGGTCGCGCTGCCCACGTCCGGCTTCATTTAGGGCTCCCCGGCTCGCAGCGCCCGCGTGTTTGGAAAGCAAGGACGGGAAGCGCCCGACATGCAAGGAGGGGTTTCCCCTGCGCTGGCCATATAGAAAAACGCGTGTATTCACACGCACGCTCAATTGGAATAAATAAAAGCTTAAATAAAAGCCTCGGCAACCCTGCCGGGGAGCCCAGCAGCGCGAACAGCTGGGGCGGTGCTGCAGCATCGGAGGAGGGGCGGCTGGGGGCCGCCGTGCCTCTGCCGCCTCCCGGGGGGCGGCACGAGTGAGCCAGGTGGTGGGTGGCAGAAAGACCCGCAGGGCAGACACGCCGGCGGCGATTCACGATGAGAAGTGGCGAGGGCAGGTGCAGCTCCGCATCCCCGCTCTCGGCGGCCCGGCTCCGCGGGGATCCCCGGGCGGGATGCGAGGGAGCCGTGGTGGCTTCCCCGCCGCGGCGGCTCCGTCGGGCGCCGCTCCGCCCCTTCCTCGCCCGGCAGCCCCATCCCGCCCTCAGCGCGTCCTGCTGCGGTGGCGGGATCCTCTGGCGGCCGCGGCGGGAAGCGCGAGGGATCGGGCCGGGCTCCCCGCGCCGCGCTGCCTCCAGCCGGCGGCAGAGCGCTCGGCTATCCCTGCGCCGTGACCGGAGTTTTATGTGACCATCGAGTCACTCAGAGCTCGAGAAAGGCCCTCACAGTGTCCCTATTTCCTTGCGGAGTGTCAGAAATCCCCAAGGCTCGATCGGAGCAATATGGTTCATTGATTATTGACTCCTTCTCCTCAGGCTGTAAGAAAAAAGGTGCTTCTTAAGGTTTTCTTACTGTTGTCCTCGGTTTGTTAAGGGATACTTTAGCACCACTCTTCACTACGCCTCATGCCTCATTCATTTCTGCTCCACCTCTTCATACTCACATCCTTTTATTTTACTTTTAAGCACACTCTCTCCCTTTGCTGAGCCTTTCAAGTTGTATATTCAGATAAGGGTCATGATTATCCAGCACAGGTTTTAACAAAAGAACATTATATCATGCCATGTAATGATAATAAAATGTTCTCAGTAATATTCTCCGGCACAACAAAACACATCCACATTTTAACTTACCTTTCATTGCACTTTCACAGAAGGTATCTTTTCAACCCGAGGGATACCTCTGTGGTATGTCCTGTGCAGTGGGGAAGTATGTCTCTGAAAGTAGCTGTGCAGGGAGGTGGCTAGCGTAAATTAGGGGGTCACTCCTGGATCAAATTCCTCACTTGCTAGAACTGGGAGCCCCAACTCAAGTGCTGAACAGTTTGGGCACCTGAATTTTCTGAGATTCAGTGTTGAAGGAGAGCTCTACTGGTGGTTTTCCTGGCGTCCCAGTGCTATCTATATACCATGAGAAGCACAGAAGAGAACTGAGGCTGCTCTGAGACAAAGAAGGAAGGACCTGAAATCCGTATCTTACAGCTCCTGGAGTCCTCCAGTTGAAGGCTTATTAGAGATTTCTAAGAGACTTGAGCCAATTTATTCTGACTGAAGGTCTCTGTTGTTCCTGCTGGAGCCTTTAGGTAGGGAGTTGAACCTCAGAGGGCCTGACAGTTTCTGTGTGCTCTCAGTTCTGTCCTTCAGCACAGGGCTCTCTCTCCTGGCTCATGGGTAGGATAGGGAGAATCCCTCCTGATGCTGCCATGCTGCAGCTTTTCAGCAGCTCTTTGTAGACTTCTGGCAGAAGCATGGGCATCCATGGCAGGCAGGGCTGCTCTGCTGTGGCCAGGCCACCCTTGAGCAGTTGTCCTGAGAACATGAAAAACACCAGCCCCCAGTGAAAGAAGAACTGGGCCCAGATCCTCTGGGGCCAAAACTGCCTTGGGTAGCTGGCTCCAACATTTATTATCATTTATGTGTTAAGTTATAGTGGGTGGTTGCCCTCTCTGTAGTAATTTTCCTACCTACAAATCCAGCCTATCATTTTTGGTCCAGTCCATTGCAATCTATCAGGATTTCTCCAAAACTTTTCAAATTCATCTAACTGAAATTAGTTGGTATCTTCAATCAATATTCTTGCTTTTTACTTTGCTTTTAGCCAGGGACTAATTTAAGCAGCAACTTTTAAGACATTATGCCTGTGAGAAGTGATAATTGCTTTTGAGGATGGCACTGAAAAGGAAATAATGCATTACAGAATGGGACACTTACACTTCAGTCTAAATTAGAGGTAATCCTTGGAAGGTCCTTCAGAAGTCCTTTGGGCTTCATAAAATCTAACTTCCAATCTTTCTATCTTCTCAAAATTGAATAAATGTCTATAACAACATAGTGGAAGATGCAAAATTGGTAAAGTAAGGGTGTCATATGAGAGTCACCATGCAATGACCATACTTAAGTATTTGTAGTGACATAAAAACCTATAAAAGGTTAGAAAGGATTCAAATGTATATAACAACATAGTGGAAGTTGCAAAATTGGTAAAGTAAGGATGTCATTTGAGAGTCACCATGCAATGACCATATTTGTAGTGACATAAAAACCTATAAAAGGTTAGAAAGGATTCAAGCAATTTTATCATTTCAGTGTCAGTTCCAATATTCCAATCTGAGAAGCAAGGGGAAATACATCCTTATTACAAAGAACTTTATCTCCAGATTTAAAAAATCTGTAAGTGCTACATTCATCTTCTCTGCATAAAATGAAGAGCAAAACAGTTTCATTCATTTTTCTTCAAAGTTTAACTTAGATGTTGAGCAAGAATTTCTGAAAGAAGAGATTATTTCATAAAATCATTACTTCCTCAGTTTTGTATAATTATGTTCAGTTATTCCACAGAGGGAATAGAAAAAAGCAGAACACAACTCAAGACAACATAAGAGGGTTCAGCTTTAGAAAATACATTGTTGCTTAAAGTCATCCTTGAAGTAAGCTGGCATAGCTCAAATATCAGAAATTAAAAATCTCTTCCATTGTATTTGGCTTGTTCTTTCATTCTTACTGGGTGCAAGGAGGGAAATTTGGCAGCAGCCTGCACACACTTCCTCTATAGTGCTGAAATGTTGTAATTCACTTCTCAACTCTTTTTTCATGAAAGCATACATGAAAAAATCAATGAGAAGCAATTCCTATTTATTACTCCTTTGGCCATGACTAAGCTGTGAAGTAGCTGTGTCCTGCAGGGTCCTAGTTCACCCATGCTGGGGACAGTGACACAGCTCACTCCATTCCTGAAAGCCCAAGCTACTTCCAGGGGGTACCAGAGGAAGCTGATGCACATCCAGATACCACCCCAGCTAGGGGCAGGACAAAGCCAAGGTGTTTTGTTTGAGCCAGGACCTGGAAAATGCTCCTGTCTCCCAGCGTTCAGATTCCATCTCAATGAGTAGTGGTCTCCCACACAAATAGTTCCACTGACTGTGGAGCGATTTGAATTGTGAGGTAGGATATAATGTGAGACAATAGCATTTAAGTATTCCAACCTGGGGTGTATGGGCTTATCGAACCATGTTCCAAACTATGGGACACCTAGTGTTCATGCACAAGCACATGCTGCAGGTACACCCATCTTTGTTGAAGATTACTTTCCATGTAAGTAAAATAGATCAGATTTAGAGATCCTTTCACTGAATCCTGTAACAGAGACCAGGAAATAATTCTGTAATACAGAGTAAGAGTCAGACTTAGGTGTAAGCAGATAAAACAAAGTACAGAAACTCTCTGGGGAGACTCCAGAACTGGCCTGGAGAAGATGCTACTCAAAGATGGTTCTGAGTTTCTCATTCATAAAATTCAGTCATGTAATTCTTCGGGTTTCTCACCTGAAGAAATAGCCAAGAAACTTTATAAATAAAGTTTTGCCATGCAATAAGCACTGTAATATTTCATGGTTTTTGAACCTCAAAGGGCTAATGGGGCTGATGATCATCCAAGAGGATGATGAACAAGGAGGTGTGTGGCTGCTCAAAGACACAGAGGCAGGCTACATGAAAACAGAGATCCATATCCTTACCTCGGCTCAGGCTAGGACTGAATAGATGGGTGTGCCCCCTCCCTTGTTCCTGTTTATCAGCATCCAGTCACTTGCCCAGTCCCATGGCTTCTCTATTGCCCTCAAGAATTTATGAATTTCTCATTCCACAGCATCAAACAAAAAGCTTCAAAAAACAATAGACGTTTGAGATTTTTTCTTGGCAATTTTTAGAAATGAAAGGATTGAAGAGAAGACACAAAACAACCCAGATCAGACCCTCACTTCACTGCATGAACTTTCCCTCTGTCCCCAAAAGATCATGGGATTGTTGCTTCACAACAGGATAGCACCTAATTCTGCAACAACTCGATTCACTGTGTTCACTCAAGGCATGTCCCTTTCTGGGCAACAGGGAGGAGATGTCATGCATGCACACGAGAATGAGTGTGTGCATGTGTGCCTTCCAGTTAATTCCTCAGCTTCTGTGGTGTGCTCTTTGGTCTTTCTAAAAGGACAACCAGCATAAGAATGACATTTTGCAATCAAATGTTGAATGCATTTTTTATTTAAACATTAAGATTTAATTACAAAAGCTTCTGGAACAATTAAAGGATGCCAAGGAGGAAAGAGCTGAAAACTCAGACTGCATTTTCTCATTCATTGTGAAAGCAAAACACATTGTCAGCAGCAAGGCGTTTTATAGAAAAGTTTCAGATGGACAGTACAAAGACCTTTCTGTCAATATTGTCACTGAAACACCTTGCTGTCATGAAGCACATCTTTTTATCTGATCACATTTTCTAGTGTTAGCTGATTGATTTTTGCAGAGGGAAACAAGTAATAATTATTGCAGAATTACTGTAATTCTTTTCTGATTATCTCTGCTAATAAAACACAGTCTTCTTCTTGGAAAAATGTCCAAACATAATTTACTTTACCCTGATAAAAATGTCTAGTGCTGTTAGAAGTTTTATTTGCACAAATATATTCCTAATCTATATTAATTTCATGCAATATAATTCTTAATTTTTGGAATAAATACTGAGAATCATTAGAGAGAATTCTTTGGAATGCGAAATCCAAACAAACTTTGTATTTTCATTTAAGGGCAAGATTCCACCATCTTTATTTACATAAGTAGCATCCCGCTCCCTGTGTTATTTCACTGCAAACTAGAGTCTCAAGCAGTGAAAACCATCATAGTCCCATTAGGATTTACTGCATTGTATTAAACCTCCAATGAAAATTGGGCTGAGCAGTTTTGTCTATGGAGTAATGCACTACCTGTAACTGGTAAAGGTGCTCAAACATAGCCCTACACTTAATAATTTGGCACATTTACAACTGGCGTTACTCAGTAACTTATCAGATGACAATAGTGGAGCTCTTCTGTAAAACATAGGTTAAGCCCATATTTGTATGACTGTACATCTGAAGTATAAAAACCACGATATGTAGTACACTTGAACAGTTAAAAAATATAACTTATTTTATTTGTAAACTATCAATGCAAGATACTCAGCAGCAAAGAAGCCATGTTCAATGTCTTCTGATCTTTTATAAAGATCCGTTGCTGTAAGTAATATAATCGTCTCCAAAACATCTGAGGTTACATGTAGAAACAATCAAGGCAATATTATTTGTACATATTATTAAACATGCAAAAAACTTCCTGAAGAATATTGCCCAAACGTAGAAAGTCATCTGGATCTCAAATTTTCCTTGGTAGCATCTGCTTTGTAAGTATGGCTCACATGTGGCTCCAGAGTACTTCAGTTTATTTTGGAGAATTGGCACCTTTAATAACAGGCTCCCTATTCAAATATGTGGCCCAGTAAACTAAGTTAAAAGTTCCAAACAGCACTGGAAAAATTATCCGGGACATTTTGTCAATCTTACTGATGCTGTTGTAAGTCTTTTTGCTTTCAGCAGGCTTTTCTTCTGCAGGCTTCACTGGAGCAGTTGTAGTGTTTGAGATGACAGCTGGGGCTGAGTCCTTTGGCATGTTTGGTGCAGGAGTCATCTTCCCGGTGCTGTAGGTATTAGTTGGTTTATTTCCCAGCAAGTTGCGCTCTTTTTTCTGCAGCATAAAGAACAAAATGTTACACCACAAGAGCAGAAAGTGGAAACATTCTCAAGGGGCTGACCCAAAAAACTGAGCACCATAATCAAGCATGCCCATTAATGCCTGTTGGCTATTCTGACTTCAACTATCAAACCGATGGTTTTGGCTTGATTTTGTAGCCCTTACTCAAGTGTGACTTCCCCTGATGGGAGAAAGCTGAGACACACTGGCTGCACCCACATCCCACCTGGCATGTGCATTAGAAGCTTCTTTTGTCAGTGAGAGGTAGTCTGGCATCTGAAGAGGGCGCTGCCCCATGGACAACATGTGAACGTCATTTCCCCAGCTGCTGCAAAGGGTGTAGGGAAGGGCTCATTGGCCACTTTGTAGGCTCTTTTGGGATGCCTGTGGGTATGAGCTCTCTAGGAGTTGATTTACTAAGAGTCAGTCCTATCCCAAAATTTTCATTTCAGCATGAAACTCAAAAGTTTGTGTTTTCACAGAACCAGTCTTTGGTTCCTTTTTTTACTGTGGTAGAACCCCGACTCATGGAGCTCAGTGTGAGAGTTGTTATTTCTTTAGGAGAGCATACAGGGACTGCTCTGCAGAGACATGTTTCATGGTGCATGCCCGCTATTATCAGAAGTCTGATCACTGAAATCCCGTGTCCTGTGTACTCAATGCCCAACATGCTTCTGTAAGCACTCCTCTTCATACAGATGATAGAGACTGGTAGTCTGTCTCTGTGAAGGGAAGGCACCATGTTTCCTTACAAATTTTCCTCTACAGGAAAGTAAATGTATGTCATGAGGTAATTAAATATCTTTTTTACAAAGAAGCTGAAAATTGACCGTTCAGTTATTTAAACTATACTGAATACCTGCTTTTTATTTTAGGTATTTAAAAAATGTGGGTTAAGCACCTTGATTTTTGCAGCTTCCTGGGCTTTTTTGCCATCCCATGCCCAACTCCTCTTGGTGAAATAGTTGACTGTTGCAAATTCAATCAATGCGGAAAATACAAAGGCATAGCAAACAGCTATAAACCAGTCCATTGCAGTAGCATAGGCCACTTTCGGCAAAGAGTTACGGGCACTGATACTTAAGGTGGTCATGGTGAGGACTGTTGTTACTCCTGCAAACAAAAAAAATAAGAGTCGGAGATCAGTTTGCTAACACTTATGGGATCCCAGATGAGTTACAAGCAGGTCCTAGTTCAGCAGGATATCTAAGAAGGCTATATGAAATCAATCAGTGTTTGCATATTATGGTTTGAAAGAATAAGATAAAATGAAAGCCTTCACCCTCAGATGTTTTGTTCTGTGGAATTCTGGTTAGTTCTAGCCATAGTGTGGTTAAATAAAGATTTTTAGGGTAACACAAGCCAAGGGTTTATAACTGTCAGAATGAAGTGGGATTACTTATTTTGTTTTCTTATACAGAGATTGCATGTTTAAAATTGTTGACTGTTACTGCTTTCCTTGACTGTAGCTCCTCCTTTCCCATATGATAGTAAACGACAAACAGCCAATGCTTTCATCTGTGGGAAGATTACCCCAAGATCAAAAAACTCAACTCTCAGTTACATCTTTGTAAACCTAGAGTAAGTCAGCAAAGTGATGTTACTATCTGTATTCTCTCCATACAACTTGCTGAGCTGATTTTTGAACAAAGCTGCCAACTAACTTCAGGAGGCTGGTACAGAAGACTGACTCCTTTCAAATATCTGAACAAAGTTTTACTTAATAATCTGTTTTCACTCCCCTTGTTTTTCATATAGTAAAAATCTTGTATTTCATCAACCTTAATTTGAAAAAGTGCTTATTTTCTGTAGCCTTCTAGGAATAAAGCAAGTAATTTAATGACACCCCAAAGGTTTTTTCCATAACAATTTCTTCAGTAAATATACAATTTCTAAATGCAAAGTCATATTAATTTGTTTGATGGTAATAGAGATAATTGTCACTAATTAACATCTACATGGTTTTCTCAGATAAAAATCCTACAACAAAGATAAATAAAATGTCTTGAAGTGATATCTGCTTCAAATGCTTAGCTAGGGTATACATTATATGTGATAATCTGTATGTCTTTTTTTCTAAACCATCCAGCATCCACCGAAATTAAAACAAACCCAACACAAGTCACACTAATCTGATCTTCTGTCCTTAATTTTCACATAACTGATTGACCAATTTCCGTCATAACTTTACAAAAACAGCCCAGACAAGGCTTTAAATTGATTTTGAGTTTAAACTGGAAGAGAATGAGAAAACATTTACAACATCTGAAGCAGAAATTAACAGTAGTGAACTGTGGTTTTATTACAGCAAATCACTTTCACAAGCCACAAAGATGCTGTCTGTGTCCTAGAGAAAGTGGGATACTCACCAAAGACAGTTCTAGCAGGGACAGATTCTCTGTTTAGCCAAAACGACACTTGCGATAAGATCACAGTCATAATGCAAGGAAGGTATGTTTGGATGACAAAATAACCAATTTTTCTTTTCAGATGAAAATGGGCTGTCATAATGGTATATTCACCTAGAAGAAGAAAAATGTGCATTGAGTAAAATAAGAAAGGTTTACTGATTTGGGGACTGAACTAGGCCAGTTCCATCCCTCCATTTGAGGATATCACTCAGCCATTCTTAATTTCATTAAAAATGTCTGGATTTCTGCACTGTGGGAAACCAAGACTTGAGACAGAGGTGCTGCTAGATCCTCACAGTCTTCACATTCATTCTCCAAAGCAGAAGACAATGACTGCTGTTCCTACTACACTGAAAAACTGCAGTCCTCCTATGCACCTGGAATGTTGTGATGTTCACAACAACATTAAAAAGCTGGTTTGGTGGCACTGCCAACACTGTCTGGTTTTGACTCAGTCCTACAAACTCTTGTAGCATAGTAACAATTAAGGCCCTCAACTCTCTGAAACCTGATTTAGCAGCAGGTTTAGCAACCTCATTAGCTAAAGTGTTATGGCCAAGCCATCAGTTTGTTTTCAATTATGAAAATGGGTCCAGACACTCCTTCTGCACCACATTTTAGGGATTGCCAGCATCTTCTGCGAGAACTGCCACTTTGCATATGGATCCTGGGATGTCTTATTAATCTGAGTACCCAAACCCTTCAGATTACTGGTCCAGAAATAAAAGGTCTCTCTAATGCATGAAGTGTTCCTAGAATTTGGTGCACTTTAGCCCTACAAAAGATTAGCTGTTTCTGGATAGATATTGTGTCCTGTCTTGTTCACCTGTGCAATGAATATTGTACTGCCTGCATGCAGAGTTCCCTAAAAGCTGCCACAGCAGTGCTAAATTCCATTTCTTTTTCATATGCCAAATTCACAGCATTGCCTTAATATGCCATTTATCGGCTCCTCTGAATTTCAATAAAAGCCTAAATAAATGCACTCAAAAATCAACAGACCAGCTGTTACCTTCCCTAATGTTTCAGAAAAATTCAAACCTTAACCAGTTCTTTCAGATTGTTCCTGGAAAACCATATAGTTGTTACTATGAGGGCTATTCCTGGTGGCAACTGCTCCCTGGTTCTTTCCTAGTATTTCTGGAAAACCATGTAGTTGTTATTACTGAAGTTTATTCACGATGGTAATTGCTCCCCAAATCCAAAATCTTGCTAGCAAAAGCATGCCACTATTTACCTCGAAATAATAACAGTAAAAACAAAATAAAAAGCAATCCGTCCCTTCAAGCCCTAAAAGTTCTTCACTGATATAAAAGAAATTTAAAAGCACACATTATTCAGTTGGTTACTGATGAATCAGAGAAATGCCTGTTTTGAAATATATATTGTCCTTCAAGAACAATTATAGCTATAATCTCTGTTGCGAGATTTGACTGTTAGTCTCTACAGAAGGAAAATATCCAATAGACTGATTCTGCCTTGAGTGAACAGCCTGAGTTGAGCTGTTGCCAGCATTACTAAGCTATTAGATTTGGCAGATTACTTCTAACTGACAATATGGCTAATTAGCAGAGAACAGGTTTACACTGAAAGGGTTTTTGCAGGTATAGCTGCACACATACACTATGCTACAGGAGCTCTGCTATTCTGCATCAAGTTTACAGACCTCATTCATGCTGAGGATTTTAGACAGGAAGTGAAATAACACAGAAATACCTAACTGACATCCTGCCTCAATCTTTATGTCTTTCTCTGGGGTCTGATTTTCTGGTGAAACGGTTCCCTGAAGAGTGATGTGGAAATGGACATGGAATCCTGTGAAACTGGGAAGGAAACCCCTGCAAAGAAAAGCCTAATTCTCTTCCATTTAGTGTAATTTTGAACCAGGGAGGCTGAACATGCAATAGTCTCAGGAGGAAGCCCACTTGCTCTTTATTAAGGAGTATTTGCAGCAGGGTCTGCCTGCCTCAGTAATCTCAGGAAGAGAGACTGTTTCTCAGTTGCTACTGCACTGGGATGTGTTTGAGTCACAGTTTCCCTGCTTGCTCACTACAGAGTGACAATGTGCATTATCGATTTTGACAGTATGCTCTCAGAGCTGGAATAAAAAAAAATCTACACAGCTTCGGAGGAGCAACAGGACCCTCTTTTTTTCATTTTTAAAACACAGAAAATGAGTGCCTACACACTGATGGCCCTCCACAGCTGATTTTTACCTTACCATTTTCTTTAACCTATCAAAACCCTTGTCTCCACAGAAATAATCACAGCACCTTGATTTTGTACTTGCTTTTCTCCCAGCTGATAAATTCTTTGATTTCCCATGCTGTCCTTTTCAGAGATGTCTATACCAGGAATACTTCCTTCAGTAGACTTAGGGCTTAAGAAAACCCCACAGCTTGTTTTTTAATGCCCTGGGACTGCTGCTTAAAGTAAAGCTAAAAGCTGCCTGAGTTGGCCTTTTGTTTATAGAACAAGATACTGGCTCTGTTGGAGCAGCAAAGCTCCCTTTTACTTTTGTAAGGCCACTGTTTATCCTTAGACCATAAGCTTTCTTGAGCAAGAGCTAATTTTTGTTAGAGGTTTATGTAGCACTTAAAAGAGAATCCTGTTCCTGATGGGGTCCACTCATCACTGCAGAAAACAAATTATTGTTAGTAAACAAAAACAAATCTAGTGCTAATGAAAAGCCCTAGAGCAGAAATGGCTGCACTTCGTGAAGCTGTGCAACTGTGCTGCTGCTCTTAAGGACTTTGTTATGCTTTAAAAGCTGCTACAGTATTTTTATTTTTTTTTTTTTGTATATAGTTGATGGAGTTCTGGAGATCACGCTTACAGATTTTTCAGGATCTTACACACATTATTCCATTGCCATTATGCTGAGATTCAGTTGATACTTTAAGGAGGGTAGACCAGCCCCCAGGCTTGTTTGTTTACTGGATATACCTGGACTCAGTTCTATCAATGGCTGTTCTGGCAAGATCCTGACATTAGGTACATTACACACCTTCCTGACTATGCTGACATCCAGAATATTTTGGCTCATAAAAAATGCATGTTCCCTTTTATAGTGATACAAAAGAAATATTCATCTCAAGTAAAAAATAAGAATTATTTGGTTCAAAATGAAGAGCTGAATGATTCTTTTATCATTTCAGCTTTGGATATTGCAGAGCTCAGGCTCCAGCTGGCAGTATACAAAAGAGTGGGTTTATGTTTTGTTTTGTGCCACTGCAGATCCTAAGTTAGCTATGAGAGATTCTGGGTATGGGGAACATAACTGGGCAAACATTTGTGGAAAGCAACAAGATCCACTTGGACTGAAATCTCATATCTGATTGTTTCAGCACTTTTACCACCAGGACATAACAGATGTTGGCTCTGTTAGAAGCAGAGTGAGTAGAAAAATGTCTTTCTTTCAGGTGAGTAACATTTGGGGATGTTAGCACAAAAAAACATCAAAAAACCAAACAGCAAAAAAAAAAAAAAAAAAACACAAAAAACCATCAAAAAACCAAACAGAAAAAAAAAAAAACCCGAAAAAAAAAAAAAAAAAAAAACCAAAAAACAAAAAAAAAAAAAAAAAAACAAAAAAAAACCCCAAAAAAAAAAAAAACACAACAAAAAAAAACAGGTGGCACATGACAGAGCTGTTTTCTGTGCCATGGCTAAAATGTTCCAAGTTTCAAGACGGTTGGAGAATTAGGAATGCCAGGGTATTTTTTTTCTGAGAAGCCAGCCAAAAGGCAGCTTGCCTACAAATCAGCAGAATCCCAAGGAACCAGTACAGGTCTGGAACTTCTATTTTAAAAAAAGTCTGCTAGAAAGAAGGGAATATATGACCTATGACATACACAAACATTTTGTCTATGCAACTGCAAGGGCTGTGTAGTTTGACTTGTGTGTCATAAAAGCCACAAAAGATCCAAGCACTTGGATTATGCAATAGCTATTTGGTTTTTCTTTTTCACGTTCAACAATTCAATAGAAGGAAGAAATGCCTTCGATGGCCATTCGTAAGTAATGCCGATTACTGGCCTCCTACGAGCTTGATGAACTCCAGAAAATCCATCGTTGACTGATGCTTTCCCTGTGCAAAATCGGATTTTTGTATTTTGCTAATCCCCGGTTACAATCTGTGTCCTGCTCTGTGTGATCCACCCTGCAATCAGAATCCAGCCAGCCCAGATGTAACCCAGGACATTAATATAAAATCTTGACGTTGGAAACACAGCATTTATTATAAATCTTAAATACGTGAGGGAGGTGTTTACTGTGCGGAAACTTTGGGATTTGTCTGGAGTGTTTCCTTGGGCTGAGGAGTACAAGGAGCTTTCACAGGCAAAGCGGCAAACTGGAAGTGACCTGGAGCTGACACGCTGGAGGACTCACTGCCTGGGCTGCATGGTTTTCTTGCTCTAAGGAGCAGGACGAGGTTGTAGGAGATGCTCCAATACATCCTTTGGATCTTTTTCTTGACAACAATGAAGGCGAGAGGGGAGCTGCCATTCATTGCAGAAAACAACGCAGCTATGATGGTGAACTGGTAAGGAAAAAAGTGTCTATTCTTTTATGGGAGATAGCGTACTCATTTTTTTTCTGCAAAAGTGAATACTCTGTTTATATGTTTCTCTTGACTTTATGGATCTTTGCTTTAGCACCAGTTTTGTGTCTCCTGAAATGGGCAAGGGAAGGGGTGAATGTCTATAGGATGCAGATGGCAGTCAAATTTAGTGGCTGCCCAAGACAAGCCTTCCCTCACTTTGTGTCCTTTCTGGAGCACAAGCAGCAAGCTCAGGTGTCCCCTCTTTATTTGCCAGTTGGAGCACAAAGTTTTATGTATCTTTACGTTTCGGTCCAACTAACTTTGTGTGCAAGTGTACATATATATATGTACCTGTTTTCATGTCTCCTAAATTTCCTACAGGTGGTAAAGGTTCCTAATTTAATCTATACTTTGTCCTCTACAACTCTGCCCATCATTTTTCACCAGGGACACGGTGTATCTGTTGTGCTTTGCCTGCAGGAATTGCCCCAGGCATGTCACCACAGGCTGCCGCTTTCCTCAACCCAAGCCCCTTGCAACCACCAGCAGTGGAAATCCCCCTTTTCTTCACGGCAGGCTATTTAATTTCCACCACTTCCCCCTCCCTTCGCTGGATGCCACTAATGCTCTCCAGGCGAGTGCATTGTGTAAGCTGGTGGAGCCCCGGTCCCACTGAGCGCATGTGATCCCTTGTCCCAGCCTCGACCCCCCGGGAGTCCCCCCCACCAATGCACACCCAGGGCTGCCCTTGCGTGGGAGCCTGGAGAAGCAGGGGGGCACGGCTCACGTGGATGCCCGGCCTGGCATTAAAGCTTCTTTGCCTCCCTAATGCCGCCACATCTGGCGCCTCTGCTTCCAGCCCGAGAGGGAATGGGGATCCTCGGGGTTTGCGCGTCCTCTCCGGCCACGTGGTCCCCGGACACGCCACAGAGCCATGCTGTGCCACAGTCCCCCCCCGGCCCCCCATTCCCTTCCCCTGACGCGGGTCCATCAAGCAATCATTTTAAAGCGATGATTGAAACGGATCAAATGCGTGGGTGGCGTTTGCATCCCAGCGTGGTTCCTCCCACGGGGAAATAAGCCAGCAGCAGCGCTGGCAGCCACAGCGAGGGCAATTGCCAAGGAACTGCGTGAGGCTTCTCAGGCACTCCTGTCAGTACCAGGAGCCTGGATGTATCTTCAGCAATGTACCTAAGAGCCAGCATTTAACCCTCTCAGTGTTTAAATATCCCTGCTAAGTGGCCATGAACCTGCTAGGATCTCCCTAGCACTCCACATCCCACAGGTGCTTCCCTAGCCTCACTGCAAAGTAACCAGAGCCTGTGAGTGTCCCGTCCCGCCCCAGCCATCAGCAACCGTGGGTCCCTGCTAAGCGGCCATGAACCTTCACAGGATCTCCCTAGCACTCCACATCCCACAGGTGCTTCCCTAGCCTCACTGCAAAGTAACCAGAGCCTATGAGTGTCCCGTCCCGCCCCAGCCATTAGCAACCGTGGGATGGAAATATTCCCCCTACCTGTACTGGTACTGATGTTTTCCGTGCCCACGGTTTGTCCCATCAGGTGGTACTGGTTAAGTCGTGAGCCATCTTCAGCCACCACCACAGATGTTGTGGTGCTGTTAGTCCACACATAGATCACTTCAGAATTGGGGTAAGCATCTGCCAACAAGGTGGGGGGGGGAAGACAGTAAGGAGTAAAAACCAGTGTGTAATATTTTAGTGGATATTTAAATGATAATGACAAGGAGAGAGAAGAATGGAGGAGTGAGAGTGAATGGAAAAAACAAATAAAGATTATATAATCATGGTCCCATATGCCCAGCTCAAAAAATATTAGGTTGAAGCCTTCTAATATAAGAGATGTGTGGGATGGTTTGTGAAAGGCTGAAACAGTGGAGGTATAAATATAATCCATCACAACCACTCAAATTGGGAAAGAGCAGCTCAGACCTATACTCACCTCACTGGTAGTTCCTAAACCCCAGCAAGCTGCAAAAGGTATTTTGCTGAAGTTCCCCCTCAAAAGGACTCAGACACCTTGAATGCCAGGAAAACAGGGACCCTCCATGTCTTGCCCTGTTTCCAGGATAGAATTCTAATTCATGCCATGTGCAAGTGCAGGGTCTGGTGTGTATGCACTGACTGGAATACACACGTGTGGGTGAGGGCATAGGTCTTGCAAGTGGGTAAAGGAAACTGGAACACACCTGCCTGTGCCTGCGATGCTAAAGAGCAGACACAGGATGCAGAGGTGAGAATGCATGGAGAGCAGGAATGGGGCAGGGAGCTGTGAGAACAGAGTAGCTGTTTGTGCATAGCAGAATGGGTGGTAGTATGAAAACACCTGCACAACTGCAGATCTGTATGTGGCTTCTCTCATGTTCATTTAGAAGTCCTAGGATTTAAATGTGGATGCAGTACTGCCAGCTCATTCCTTCTTCTGTAATGCTGTTATAACTTGTAATGCTCCAACACCCAGAGTGATCATAGTATTATAAGGAAATCTCAGTTTTCTTTTACATCAGCTCATTCTTTCCTCTGTAATGCTGTTATAACTTGTAATGCAGAGTGATTATAGTATTATAAGGAAATCTCAGTTTTCTTTTACAGACAGTCAATGGTGGGTTTACATTTCAGGCGTTCTCTGCAGATGGTCTCAAAAACCCCAGGAGACAACTCTATATTTTATTATATTTTATTTGCTATAAGTAGCTTTCACACTTTTTAGAACTCCTCCAGCATTAAAAGCTTTCAGGTCATATTCCTGCAAGCATGTTACAGTAGGCTACAGTACATTGTACTAAAATCTCTGGAAATCAGGCAAGGCTTACTCTCCAAATGGAAGGTGAGAAGCAGGTAGGCTTGGAAGTGGTCTGAAGTCAAATATTAATATCTCATCTTCTTCATTTTTGAACTTGGAATATGTGAGTGCAGAATGTTTCTTTCTGGAAAAAAACCTGACATCCTCGTTCAGGATGGAAAGCCACATGGTGGCTTTCCAGAACAGGACTTGAGAATCAAGGACAACAGGCTAGGTTGAAGGACGTGTACTCACTCCATCAGACTGCGTGTTTTGTTTGCAGTTGAGCTGTATTGGAAAGGTGCAGCTCCATGAAGGACTTACAAAAAAATTCACAGGCATTGGGTCATAGGCAGTGAGTCAATGTGAGCTTCTGAGGCACTGCAAGGGCAAGAAATATGGTAAGGTGATCCCTGGATCCATAAAACCAGGAATGTCCAGCAGAAAATGGGAAGCAATCCCAGTTCAGGCTAAGAGCACATGTGTAGCACAATGAACTTCACTTGAATGCTCGACCAGGTAGCAGGGAAGAAAGCAGCACCTTCTTTGCACTTTTATCAATGTTACTGTGTCGGATGTGGGAGGCAGGGCTCAATACACCTTTGTCCTGACTGTTTATGGCTCTTCATCCACACCACAGAAAAGTTATAGAAATGATGAAGACAGAGAAGGGGAGAGAGGTCAAAAGAAGGTTACAAGTACCTCCATGGACTGGAAAATAAGTCATGATTTGAAACTCAAGCAGCTCAGCTTATTCAGCTCACTGACAAAAAGCTGAGATGTAGCTCAAGCTCTGAGTATAGACACTTGCATACAGAAACCTGAAACCAGGGTGAATCTCTTGGACTAATCACAAAAGGTGCCTGAAAGATGGTTCCAGGCAGATTCAGATGAAGAGCAGGGCAGAATTTTCTAATTGTGTGGAAGACGAGTAATTATACAGTAGATAACCTTCTGAAGAAAAAAAAAATAAATTATGAACTACTGTCATTTGGAAGACATTGATAATTTGAAATAATTTTTTGTCACTTATCTGACAGTTGCTGCTATATCCAGGGCTGGAGCTGATCCTAGGTTTGGAAGTTGAGAATCTACAAATTTTTCATCCTTTGTTAGCCATGCAGGACTGCCCACCTGCCTTCCTTATGCTTGTATTTGTAGTTCTGCAGTAAAATTACTGTAATTACATGTCGTAATCTACTTTGAAAGGCTAAGAAGGAATGTCTTCCCTATTTCAAAATATTTGCATCACAAAAAGTCATGGAATTTCACCTTCCCTTTAGAGCTGATATACTTTACTATCTCTAAGATGATTACAAGTTCACAATGTACTGTAAATAATTTCATAGCCGGATCTGGAGAAGACAAGTGGGAGGAAATGGGTCCATTTAAAAGAAGTAACGCAGAAAATCCTCCATTTCTAAAATGGTATATGGTATATGTTGTTCATGGGCTGCCCAGGGAATGTAGGATATGTTTAGGTAGATTTGGGATTGTCAGAAAATTTGATTTTTACCTATGTTGTTACTTCCTATGCAAAAAAAATAAGTTCCTAACAACAGCACTGGACTTTTTTTTCTTTTTTTTTTTTTTTCTGGGATGATCTAGATGTATCCCAACTCAGCACTTCTCTGTCTCTGATGATCCCAACAACCAGGATAATTGGGTTTTTCCTTGTTTTCTCATGATGATATACATTAATTCATCCTGACTAGATGCTTCCCAATGCGAGTACTGTAACCAAATTCACTGAAATTGCAATCACACAGGAATTTAGGCCTGTAAGTTTTAACAAGAATTCAGATGCTTTGGTTCTCTCCTCTGCCTGGCCTGTGGGGCAGGGGAGTCCAAAAATAATTCAACACCTCTGCTGTGAACTGCAACTTTTACTGGGTGCTAAACATGTGCAGTGGAACAGAGTTGGGGGCTCCTATGCTGCAGGAGTCCAACAGCTCCTCTTGTAAAATACCTGAAACACAGAGAGAGGCCACAACGTGCCAAAACTCAAGATCCCACAGGTATGCCTAACCATTACTTCATGAGGCAGTTTTCTTTTGAAACCATGTCAGGGAAGGGGAGTGCCAATCCCAGGCCAGTTGGTGGGAAGTGAGAGCATTTACCAACCTGCAGTGATTTTACCTCCTCAGGAGAAGTCTGTCACATTAGGAATAGCATGAATTTACCCCAACCTAGATATATTCTGTTGTGATGGAGCATATATATTAGATGATCATCTATCTTCCATGCAAATATAATAAAACATGGTTTGTGTTTTAAGAAGCTCTAATATAAGATTTTTGACTTTGTGCCAACTTTCCTTACTACACATCAAATTCTGACAGGAAAAAGCCACCCCCTGCTCCTTGGTGTGGCAACTGACCATCTCTTTTCTGGTCATCTAGATAAACCTCCAGAGGGATAAGCCTGTGTACTTTTAGCAGGTAGCTGTCTTCCTCCTGCAAATGTTATGCCATATCTTCACAGAATCCTCAAACTCCAATTATCCCACACCTGACAACCAGAAGCTCCAGCTCTGCAGCTGATAACCCCTGCAGTACAATCAGGCATGGTCATATTGAAAGCTGAAACTGTGGGTGAAGTAGAGAATGATGTTATTTTGCTGTCGGGGTAGAAGTACTAATGGAGACACAGTATTATTCACTGTCATACCAAATTTTGTAAAGACACTCTTCCACTTAAGCAAAGTTTCCTGTAGGTTGCTTACTAGCCTTGCTTGCTGGAGCACTGAACAACTTCAGGTCTTGCTGTTTAGATATGAGAAAAGTGTACCAACAAAAGGAAATATGGAAATATATAATCTCCTTTATGTTACACACAGGGTGGGTATGTCTCCAAGAGGATGATAGGAAAATGTAGCTGCAGCTCTGGAATAGCAAGCTGAGAAGATGATGCTGGTAGTTTTGCAAAAGCAAACTCAACTTCAAAGCCACTGCAAATCCAAGTGAGACTGCTTGGTGTTTATTCTACTTTAAGCAAGGGCATATCTTCTGGATTTCTGAATCCAACTAATTAATCTTGTGTTCTTTACAGTAATTTTGTTCTCTTGTCAAAGAAAGGAGGAAGTCTCATTAAAGTATCCTTTCTCTTCTATGCTCACTTCTTTGAAAAAGAAAAGAAAAAAAAAGGTTGCAGTTCAGATGAACAGCTAAAATTACAAACAAGTATAATGTTATTAAATGTGAGAAAATGACAACAGACATTTATTTCTACTGGACAGTTGATAAATGACTGCAGGCTTATCACCTACCAGAATGATGAAAGAAATAATATCTTCTCTCATATATTTATTGACAAGCAGATCTGTTTTTCTACATTCTAGCATCCAACATACACCACACAATATAAAAACGGTAAAGGTGTCCCTTGCTCTTCTCCCACACTTTCCCTGCTCCTGTATGGCTGGCAAGGAAAGCCAGACATGGTCTTATGCCAGTGAACAGTGGGCAGGGGAGAGACCACAACCAGAGTGGAATTACATTAAGAAAAAGTCTAGCAAAGCACAACAGTAAGTGGGTAAGATCTGGAGGATCCCAGGCATTTGCCTCGGCATTGAGGATAGCCCTGTTTTCATTTGCAAATGAAACAGTGTGAGCAGTGCAGAATTCTCCCTTCCATTCAAAAAGCAACTCACAAGCAGGGAGTTTTCTCCTGCCAGTGCCCCCAACACAGGGTAGTGATGGCTTCTGACAGACACTCTCCTTCTTGCTTTTCTCTCTCCTCCATATTTGAAAGAAACTCCAGGAGGGGAAAAAAAAAAAAAGTGGCGGTGGGGAAGAGTATTTCTTGGCATCTCCAAACTTTGAGTCTATGTGACCCAGACATATTTCTAGGACTGACT